GAAAAATTTCTTCTGCCATTCACCAACAAACTGTTCTCCTGCTCAGACTCCCTTCCTCCCCAACCAGAAGAACTAGCTTTCTCCACGTTAACTTTACCCCATTTGAACTTTAGACATGCATGCGCGTGTACACACACACCCAATTAATCGAGCCTACATCGTCTCTAAACCATCCCAAATATCTCCTTGTAAGATTTTCTTTAAGATTCTGATCCTCAGAACATCTCTGCTCTTCCTTCCTATTTCATTTAACAAGCCTCAGAAGAGCTACAGGGAGCTGTACACAGGTCTGTCACGCATGCTGCACTATCACCCTATACTCTCTTCCCTTGTCGGATCACATCTGGCTTAGGTCAGGCAGAGGCGCTCCCTTCCACACAGTGCACTGCCCTGAGGATGAGTACTGCTGCCTTCCCAGGCTCAGAATTCAGACCCTCAGCAGCAAAAATGCACCCAACATAAAAACTGAAATACATCCTCTTCAATATATACGATGGCAGCTGATGAATACGACATTAAACCTAAATCTCCTACAAAATGACAATACATTCATTTGTGTCACTCTGAGATAAGTAAATGCCATCTTTCTCAACCACAGACAAAGTGACTGAACACACTTCATTATGTTTTTCATGTACTTCTCACATATAAGTCCTCTGGCTAATAACTGAAGTTAGAGTCAAATAAGTACATTTGTTGGTTCAGAAGTTACTGGCCTAGAATTAACTCAGCTCAAGGTCGTCAAACTAGAAATTTTATAACATGGTCAGAAACTGGCCTTCCTTCCCCATATCTACACACAGAGCTCCATTCATTTTTCCCAAGAAAAGAACCAGATTAGAAAGCAAGTCTGCCCCCAAATATTCTTACTTTAATCTAATTCACTCAAAGTGGATTTATTTTCCCTCTTCCCGCCTTCTCCTTTATTTCCAGACCCTTCCAACGGCCTTCAGGTAATTCTGCCCCAGTGAACCAACCACAACAACTCTCCAGCTGGCAGAGGAAGAGCTACGGCATAAACAAGATTTCAGATCATCATAGTTAGTTCCCCTCTGTTGCTCTTGTTATGGCAACAGCATACTTTTCCACAGCTGATGAGAATGTTATGCAGGAAAAGAAAGGCTAAAAGAGGTCTCTATGCTTCTGTTCATTCCCCAGAGCACAATTCTCTCAGAAGACTTTGGCACCTAAAAAAGAAATAAGGTAGCAGAAAGAAGTCTATTAGTAATAGCTAGCATTCCAGAGGTAGAAAAGTCTCTTTAAATGACTGAAAACTTCCTTTCCTAGTAAGATAAGTTTTTTTTAGAGACAGGGTCTTGCTGTCACTCAGGCTGGAGTGTAGTGGCCCGATCATAGCTCACTGTAACCTCGAACTCCTGAGCTCAAGAGATCCGCCCGCCTGGGCCTCCCAAAGCACTGAGAGTACAGGCATGAGCCATAGTGCCCGGCCAGATAAGCATTCTAAGATAGTGGCGGAAAAACCTGAAATAGTGATCAGGATACTAAATTTGAGACTACCCACTGCATGACTTGCTAACAAGTTACGTAATTTTGCTGGGTCTCAGTTTCTCTCAATTATAAAATGAAAGCAATAGGTTCCTTCCAGCTAACTGGAGTGTTATAAAAATAAAGCTAACTATAGTAACCTTACCTTCCTCCATTGAGGCTAGAAGTGCTTCTCAATGGAAGAACCAAATATCATCCCCGCTCCTCCATAGGCAGAGAGGAAAAAATAAAATTCAAGGGCATTTTGGGGGGACCTGGAATTTACTCAACAAAAATTTCCCTCTTCCTTAGTAATGAGAAAAGATATTCTTCTAGCAATACGAGAAATCAAAGACGCTACAGCAAGCGTGTTTTCACCCACTTCTCATTTCCCAAACCACCACAAGAAGGCAATTTTGAGAAACCTCAAGGTTAGGCTATATCCTCTGCTCCCCAATGAATAAAGGACTCTTAAGTGGGGAGAAATAATAAGTTCACTACGTTGTGAATGTCCCTGCCCAGTCTGACCATTTAGGGCATTTAGCACATCAAATGTTATCTTGAATGCTCTGACATGCATGTGACACTCCAGAAGTTCCAGGCAGGAAATACTAATCCTTCCCCTTCCCACAAAATAGAGATTTCCAATACAAGCCTACTGCCTCTCATTTTTCTAAATGTTTTCAAGTCTGAAATACATGTTAGCACTTCGGCTCTATATAGTTTCAGAACTAAAAATTTTATCTGTCTCTCCCTTCCCTCCAAATCAAGATTTTAAGCCTGTTCAGAGCAAAGATTGCATTTCTTATTTTTGTCTGTTGTCCCTTTTTCTGCAAAGCACTGCACTGGGCCCACAAAACTCGTAGAAGATACCCAACCACATTAATTCAGGAGGTGACCAAATAACAACAAACTATCTCACCCCAGCTGAGAGAAATAAAATTACATAGTGAAGGAGAGATGAATGTAACAAGAGAAATGTACAAACCAGAGGGCAGAAAATTTCCAAAGGGGTAAAATTAAATCAATACGTACTGAACACCTAAACAGCATTGAGTTAATTGCTAAAAATGATCAAATCCAATTGCAACAGTGCTATATCCTTATAAGCATATTAAGCAGGCTGAGCATGGTGGCTCACGCCTGTAATCCTAGCACTCTGGGAGGCCGAGGCGGGCGGACAGTTTGAGCTCAGGAGTTCGAGACCAGCCTGAGCAAGAGCGAGACTCCTGTCTCTACTAAAAAAATACAAAGAAATTACCTGGACAACTAAAAACATATATATAAAAAATTAGCCTGTAGTCCCAGCTACTTGGGACACTGAGGCAGTAGGATTGCTTGAGCCCAGGAGTTTGAGGTTGCTGTGAGCTAAGCTGATGTCACGGCACTCTAGCCCGGGCAACAGAGTAAGACTGTCTCAAAAAAAAAAAAAAAAAAAAAATTAAGGAAGTCCTTCTGTTAAAAATCCAAAGATTACAATGGGCTCTACCAATAAACACAGGTTTAACACTATAAATTAGCCAAGTATTAAATCTGAAACAAAAAATTGCGTGTGTAGAAACTATTTGGAAGCAGGTTAAATGATATTTGAGAAAGCAGTGGAATTCTGTGTGTTGGGAGGAGTGGTAAATGAATCAGTATTTCTGGCAGAATCTTTACAAGCATTTTAGGAACTAATCCAGGCTATGAGAAAGGCTTCTATCTTTAAAGAAATGCTTAAAGATTATGCCTTTATTTGAAAAGCATCATGGCTTGGCTGTTTGAAATATGCCAAAAGTGTCTCTCTGTGGCTCTTCCTTCAGAAGAATAATGATTAATACATAGCTATAAGTTTAGTTCCTGCCCCAAATGAATTATAGCTGAGGGCAGTTGTTACTGTGACATGTGCTTTGCACTGCTGGAAACACAAGCATTTACTGACCAATACCTCAAAGAATTCTGGAAGCTATAAATCCCTTTCCATTACCATGTAAAATAATATCCATTTCTCAAAAGCTACCAGTTCAAGTTCAAGACAACTCTATCTCAAGCAGATTCTGGTCTGCCAAAATCTTTCATAATTAAAAACCAAGATCTCAGCATGCTCAAACACAGGGACTGGCCTGTGAACAGATCAGATGAGAGGTTTCTTCAATGAGGTAAGCAACCTCACTAGGAACTCCACTGTTCTGCAAAGTTAAACGCTTCCTTAAACCCAGCTCCCCATACATATTTATGAACTTCTCCTGCCTGAGTCATTTTAAAGTCTTCCAACACAGTCTCCCCTCCCCTAGAGTGGCCTGGCTGGATACCTCCATAAAGCTCTCTCCTAGATTTTTATCCCTTGGCGTTCGCAAGGCGGTCTCCTTACTCCACAGGCCTTGCTGTTGTGCAACCAATTCAGGGATGGCCCAGGCCTAGCTGCACCGGATTGGTTGTAGTACAACTCCAGAGCCCTGCCCACAAAAATGAGGCGAGCAATCCTGTAGACTGCAGGGGCTGCCAGCGAAATCCCCACCCTCTCTAGTGAAAGGCCACCCCATCACCAAAAGAAGGCAAAGTTCTGAAGTTGAAAAGGAAGCCCCGTTCCCTTCAACAGGCCCCTCAAAATCTCTTTCCAGTCTCCTCCCTCTGGAGAACAGCCCAGTCAGGGGACAGACAACCTTTGAGCTCCCTTTTCTCGTGACCAATCTACAAGCTTCACCTCTACCCCAGTGTTACTTGTAAACAGTTCCTGGTCCTATGTTGAAAAGCACTGCTCAGGAACTTCCTTCTGCACCGCCTCTCTCTAGAAGCCCCTTCCCCAGGATCAAACAACCCCACCCAAGTAGGGGGTCCTGCTTAACCATGCCCCCTTCAATCCACCTCCAAAGCCGTCGCTGCCAAAAGAAACACTATTAAGGCTGCCAGCGCTCTACCACCCCCACCTTGGCTATTACTTGAGCATTATTTTATCACTCTCTCCTCCTGGCCGAGGGACTCCCCCCTCCCGCGGGGCCTCGTCCAGCAAAGTAAACAATGCTGTCAAAGCAGGATAACGTTGGGCAAGACTCCAGACTCCGCATTCCAGCCTCCTCCTGGTGTTCTAAAAGCAGCAAACCAAGCCACCGCAGGGTCCCAGGAGCGAAATCCTTTCCCCAACTTGCTTTCTAAAAAGGCCCGGAGTCAGCTCCAAAATCAAGCGTTAACATGCACTATCTGCAAGAGTTAGAGGTAATGCAGAGTGAAACGCAAGGCCAAGTGTAGCCACGGGAAGCAGACGAAGAGGGGAGAGAAAACTGGGTCGAGTGAGTAAACGGGCCACGAAGTGAGAACAAGGGCTCTTCGTCGCGACAGGAGAGCCACGTCCCCGAATGGGGCGCGCGCGGACTCGAGCTGCGAGCGACAGAGAACGCGAAGTGAAGGGTCCAGAAAGCGCGGGCGCGGCCCGAGGGCAGCGTTCCCGGGGCTTTGGTGGAGCCGGGGGGACACGCCGAGAAGTGACAGAGGACCGTGGCGGGAGACCGGGACGCGGCGGAGGGCTGGCCGGCGCTCACCTCCCGGTGTGGTGGAGAAGAGCGTCCCCCCGGGCGTGGTGCAATAGTCATGAGGTAGCTGCGCGGCGTCGCTGATGGGCACGGTGCGGGTGGGGATGGCGCGGCTCTGGCTGGGCTGGTGGCCGCTGCCGGCGGACGAGGACATGGCTCTAGGCGCGGGCTCTTGGCTTTGTCCGGCGGGCAGGCGGCGGCGGCGGCGGCAGGGCCCGGGCTGCTCCGGCTCTTCAGGCGGGCGGAAGGGCGCGCTCCGCTCGCTCCTCGCTCGCTTCCTCTCGCTCCCTCGTCCCGCTCCGCTCCCGCCGCCGCCCTCTCAGCCGCCGCCGCCGCCGCCGCCCGATCCTCCGGCCTCCGCCAGCAGCCTCAGCAGCAGCAGCAGCGGCAGCAGCGGCGACGACGACGACCGGAAGCGGGCGAAGGCGGGAGCCAGAGGGAGTTCGGGGAAGCGGGCTGTCCGGAGGTGACGTCGTCGGGGGCGGGGCGAAGCGACGGGGGGCGGGCCCTACCGAGGGGCGGGGCTCAGCCCCGGTGGGCGGGAGAGGAGCCCGAAGGAACCAGGGTGAGGTGTTGGTGAGCCAGGCGAAGGGAGGCAAGGAAAACTCTGGTTGTTTTAATTGTCTATCAGTACTACTTTACTTGAGCTGACTTCAGTTTCTTTTCCATTCCTAGCCATTAAAATCGTAATTTTACTTTTAATTGTTCATTATTATATATAGGCAATGCACGCACGATGCACTGCCTTTAAAAAATCAAACAGCAGAAAGGTTTATGGTGCCACTCTCTCCCAGTTCCCAGCCCCCTTTCCAAGGGCAACCACTGACACGTTTCTTGCGTCTCCTTCCAGGCACCGTCCCTATATACACACATAAAGCAAGATCTAAATAGGGAAAGGCAGAGACCAAGAGCCACCCACCCACGTCACAAGGATGTGTATTGTATGAGAAATAAACCGAGGCCAAGGAGAGGATTAAGACCACGAGGTACCTGAAAAATCTAGATCTAGAACTCCATTCTTTCCTCTAAACTTTTTGGTCTCCGTGTCTCTTTACATTCTTGAAAATTATTGAGAATCCCCAAGATCTTTTGTTTGTGTGGGTTATATTTATTGATAATTACTCTATGAGAAATTAAAACTGAAAAATTTTTTAAATGTTTATTAATTCATAAAATAATGATAACCTATTACATGTTAAAATAGTCATATATTTTTGTTTAAAAAATTGTATTTTCCAAAACAAAAAAATTAGAACAGTGGCATTGTTCTACATTTTTGCAAACGCTTTAATATCCATCTTAATAGGAGACAACTGGATTCTCAAGCTGTGTCTGCATTCAGAATACATTGTTTCCATTCAAGTATGTAAAGAAAACTCAGCCTCACACAGGTATGTATTTGGAAAAGGTGAGGCTCACAGGCTCCCCGGGGCTCTCAAAACCACACTTTGAGAACCACTGTGCTAAGCAGAACTGCTTCTGCCCACAACATTCCCAAGATGGGAGTGGGAAGAGAATCATGGATAGGATCAACATAGCTACCATCATTCCCATTTTGCAAATGGGAAAAATTTAGGCTAAAAGAGGTTGAGGGTTTAACCCAAGTAAAACAGCTATTGCTTCACTGCTTAGAGGGCCAAACAGGTGCTTGACAAGGACATAGACAAAAGAACTTACACAGAGCAGGATGGGTCAGGACATGACATGATACTGATTTTGTGGTAAGTGTCCCAAGAATTCAGAAAGAACAGTCCCTCATCTGTCCTGCAGTCTGGAGACCCAGAGCTGCAGAGGACTAAGTTTAACCTTGAAAGACTCTACGGCTTTGGATGTGCCAAGAGAAATAGACATTTCTCTAATAGCAGAAGGAAAAGACAAGATACTAGCTTATGTTTGTGTAGAGCTTACAAAGGGTATGATGTATAAAGCACATCACTCCTTGATCAGCCTTTACAGATTTTGGGGATGTTCTGGGGACAGCAGGGAGACCTCTCTGGCCACAGCAAAGGGGGAAGACGGTAGAAAAAGTTACACACAGAGGATGGGACTACAGATGGGATGAAATGAAATAAATGGAGGCTGCACCAGAGCACAGTTCCAAAGTTTTGCAGACAGAGAAGTATTATGTACTTTTTATTCACTTTTCCAGGCAGCCTGGAGAAGTGAACAGAGCACAGGTTTTGGAGACATACAGACTGGGTTTGAATCCCAGCTCTCTGTCTCTCTTTCCTTTGGGTTTACTTTTTCTACTTGTTTCTAAGCCCCTGTTTTCCATGTTAGAAACGTTCCTGACTTGCCTTGTGGTCTTTGTCTATTCATAGTTAAGCATTAGTGAGGAGCTAAAGGTCTTAAAGGAAGCTCTGATGGGGGGCGGGCATGAGAGGGCTTGTCTCAGGATGGGGTCCTCTATAGGGTAATCAGATCCAGACCAGTCACTTCACTGGGGGGCTCCCAAATGTCGAATGTTCCTATCTATGGATGTTTTCTCTTTTGCTGGTCAGTGTTCCCCAGGAAGCATTCTCCATTTTCTGGCCGGTGGAGTACAAGTCTGTGTGCCAGGCTTCTGAGAGCCAAACTGGGGCTGGGAGTAGGGACCCTCTCCATTCAGAACACAGGCTGACACTGACCCCCTTGTTTGCAGTACAACGCCTTCCCCTGGGCCACAGCTGGGATGTGTCTCTGAGGACATGAAGTCTCCGAGACATCCTCTATTTATTGATAACCTCTGTAGAAGGCAAACTTCACATCAGAAGGCACTGGGAAGGGAAGGGTGCCTATCTGGACAAGATGGTGGAGGAGATTTCGGGGTTGCAGCTGCTGCTTTTAAAGATGTTTAACCAGTCCTTCTATTTCCGGCGTCCCCTCGCACCCCTAACTCCAGAGGTACCTGGAGCCTCCAATTCGTGAGTCTTCCTGGAGTCCTCTGATATGAACTGAACTTTTTCTTGTTAGCTCTTCCACCTCCACTTTCTCCAGTCTGCTAAGTCAATTATCACTTGTCTTTGCTTTCCAGCTTCCGAAACTTTATTATCATCACTGGTCCACTGCCATATCCTTTCCTGGCTTCCTAGTCCTATTGGGTTTGTGCCTTTAAAAAAACAAATTCCGCTACTCTCATTTTAGAGAGGTTTAATGGAGAGAAGAGATAAACACAGATGTTTAATCTACCCAGTTTAACTGAAAGTACACAACACATGGTTTTAAATAGTGTAGCAGTCAGGAGTCAGTTGCAATAACAGAAAAGGTTTATTCAGAGAAGTAGGTGCTTAAAATAACCTGGATGAACCAGAGGAATGGGCTTCAGGCTGGGCCTCCAGAAATGACCTTCAGAGCACTGCAGAACTGACCCTTCTGGAGAGCTGCTGCCTGACCATAGCCAGGAAACTGGGGAGTAGGGAGCTACTGTCCCAACTGCTGGCCCCACCTTAGCTGTAATTCAGAGATCAGGGAGCTGCCGCCAGGACTGTGGGCTTCAAAGCCACACAGAGCCTGCTAGGTCCCTGTCAGCGATGGATGCCTAGAGCAACACTACCTCTTTCCCCACTTAACTCAGCTCTGAATTCGAGTCTTATTTGTGAGCATCTGATTGGTGTAATTTGAAACACACTGCTACGAAGGATCATGGAAAATGTTGTGTTGTTTCTTTTTTAAAGCTTTCCAGCCCCTGCACTGTAAAGAAGGAAGTTAAAACCAGAGGGAAGTTAGAACAGGTATTGAGGACACTAATCTATGTATCCACCACAAAAGTTAAGATGTGTAGAAAGCGTTTTTTAACTGGACAATAGGATTCACTCCCACCATCTTTCTCACCTCATCTAATTTCCTTCTTCCTAGCATTTGGGATTAAAGTCTAAAAGCAACCCCTCCTTCCCTTTGCTCAGGGATCACCTAACTTTTTCTTTAAAAGGTCAGAGGATAAATGATTTAGGCTTTTGAAGCCACAGGGTCTCTGTTACAACTATTTAACTTTGTCATTACAGCACAAAAGCAACCATAGACAATATGTAAACAAACAAGTGTGGATCCAGCAATACTTTATTTACAAAAACAGGAGTCTGGCTGGATTGGCCTGTGGCCATAGTCTGCAGACCCCTGACTTTGCTTATGTGAGTGGTCTTCAAAAAGTTCATGGAAAATGCATATTATGAAAACACTATACATGGATTTCAAAAAGTTTTTGCACCAAAATAAACTCATACTAATTTGTCATAACATGCCTGAACAGGATCTAGTTTGAGGCATTAAGGATCCGGTCAAAGCAAAAGTGGACCAGTCAAGAGCAAAGGTCATGGCAACAGTTTTGGGGCATACTCAAGTCATTTTGCTTATTGACTTTCTGGAAGGCCAAAGAACAGTAACATCGACTTGTTATGAGAGTGTTTGGAGAAGGTTAGCCAAGGCTGTAGCAGAAAAATGCCCAGGAAAGCTTCACCAGAGAGTCCTTCTCCACCATGGCAATGCTCATGCTCATTCCTCTCATCAAACAAGGGCACTTTTTACAAGAGTTTTGGTGAAAAATCATTAGGCATCCACCTTGCAGTCCTATTTCGGCACTTTCTGACTTCTTTTTGTTTCCTAGTCTTAAAAAAATCCACAGAGGGCACCCATTTTTCTTCAGTTAATAACGTAAAAAACACTGTATTGACATGATTAAAATCCCAGGACCCTCAGTTCTTTAGGGATGGACCAGATGGCTTACAAAATGTCTTGAACATGATGGAGCTTATGTTGAAAAGTAAAGTTTATATTTTCATTTTTGTCTTCTAATTCCATTTTTCCATGAGCTTTCTGAGGTCCCCTCATACTGTCCATGAACTCAATAAATACTTAATGAGCACCTATTGTGTGTGAGGTACTGTTCTGGGAGTGGAGGGTATAGCAATCCCTGAGACAGATGGCATCCCTCTGATTCCCACCTCCCACCCCCTGCCCATTTACCTGCCTAGCTCATGTTCATCTTTAATATTCAGTGTGGGTTAGCCTTCCTTGACTTTCTTCTTCCCAGCCAAGGTTTGTTCGTTTCCCTCTCTCTGAGCTCCCATAGCATCCTGTGCACGCTGTGGTCCTTTGCAGCAACCCTTTGCACAAGCCTTGCCTGCTAATGCATCTGATTCCTGGCAGCACTGCAAACTCCTGAAGGGTGAGGATGACCTTCTCTTCGCCTCATATCTGCACGGGGCCTGGCACAGAACCAGCCTGTGGTTAGTATTTGTTGAACTGACTTTAAGAAGCCTTTGTGGAAACCTTGAGAAAAACATTAGACACGGTTATGGGCAGAGAGATCTAGGGGGGCAAGAGGCCTTTTAGGTTTCCTATTCAGATGAGAATGTTTGTTTATGGACTGGATTATGGTATAATTTACACACACTGAAATGTACCTTTCACGTCTGCATGTGGCTGAGTTTTGAGAAATGTTTACTTCCTTGTGAATGCCACGACAATCAAGATACAGGACA